TAAGATAAACAAGCCACTAGACTATATTCCTAAGGCAGTGAAATAAAAAGTGACTCTGACTCTTTGCTTGAGTCTTAAACACAACAGCAAACGCTTTGTTTAACAGGCTCCGACCCCTGCTACTGCATTTTCTGGCTGGGTGAGATGCTGCAAGTCGACATTGCCCTGCACCTCAGTTTCCCTAACTGTAAAATAGGAATGATGGTAAGTGTGCCCATGGGATTGGTAAGAGAAGGAAATGAGCCAAATCTGGAACCCATGAAGAGCTCAGTGCATGCTTGTTTTAGCTGTCCCCCGTCCCCAGCCCTGGTCCCAGGGCCCGTGGGAAGATGCTTCTCATACCCTCATTAACCGCATTGTGGCCTCCTTCCTCCCAGGGTCCATCTGCTCCCTTCTGCGCAGTTCTCGTGGATCCCTCAGCTGGCTTGTCACCACCATGGTGGGCTTAGAGTGCAACACTGGGGACAGGAAAGGGCAGGGAAAGGGTGAGGGTACAGGCAGGCCTGGGTCCAGGTCCCAGGGAATGCACCACCAATGACAGAGGCATAGGCCCCAGCCCCACCCACTCACAGCCTCACAATGTGACACTGGTAGGAAGAAGAATCTCATCCATCAATAAGCCCCTGGGCCCCACTCCAGGCCTTGATATAAGGGAGGGACAAGCCCGGGTAGAAGCAGCGACTACGAGTATGGACAAAGAGAAGAATAGGGGTGTCAACAGGAGACGGCTGCACCCCCCAACCATCCAGAGAGTCGAGAACTCCCACTTTTTTGTCTGGCCAGTAGCTGATGCAGCACAGGACAGCAAGAAAACCCCGGGGCAGCAGACCTGAATCCAGATCTCCGCTCTCCCACCAATGTGGCTGGTGGGAAGGTCAGAGTGGGTAGGGGTTAAGTACAAGAATTAATGAGCCAGGCAGCCTGGGTTTGAAACTGGGTTCTGCCTTCTACTAGCCATGTGACCTTGACCTCTCCGTTCCTCAGTTCCTCCATCTGTAAGATGACAGTAATTATCATGCCTGCGTCATAGGGTTGTGAAGATTAAATGAGAAGCTACTATACCTTAAAGTTGCTTGGAATAGTGCCTGACACATACTCAGTGTTGGATACACATTACTAGTGGTTACCATTATTTCTAACAACCTGAGAATTGAGACGGCAGCAACAGACAAAGGCACAGGAGCTACGCAAAACTCCAACTGGTTGTCTCTGAAATACAATAAAAGCTGTGGCTCTGCCATATAGGCAATATAGGCATTTGGAGGGCATATTCTCAGAATTCCTGCTTGCTCTCAGCCTGCCCTGCACCAGTATAACCAAGCATTCAGGCAGCTGCAACTCCATTCTCAGTCCCCCCAAAATCCCTGCTCCAGGTGCAACCCAGTTCATTTGGCAAAGATATTGATTATTTTTTTACTAGATCAATATCCTTCATCCTGGGAAATGTTACTATTAAGTATTGAGATGATGAAGGAAATTAATTTGTGATGAATTTATGAATTATCTGTATATTGCATCATTTAAGAGACAGAATGATTAACAGACTGAATCTTGTGATTCTAATTTTAAATGATAATTGATCTAATTTAAATGATATTTTGAATTATATTTGTTTTCAGTTGAAAGGTTTAAGACATTCTTACTAAATGTGTGTAAATTACTGGAAACTTTTAAGAGAACATAAAATTACCCATATTTAAAGGTTTATTTATTAGATATACAAGAAAAATACCTAATGGTTTTTGTTAATCAGACAAGTGAACTATTTGAAAATGAATATATTAACATATACCAAATGACTATATTAAATTTTAAAACGTGGTTTAAAAGTTTGAGGGGAATTTAATTAACCATGTTCTGAAATCCTCCTTATAAGTGCTTATAAAAACTGTAAGATTTGTAAGTTGAACTTAAAATGCTTAAGGAAGATTTGTAGCTTTAATAACGAGTATTTATTTTCATTAGAGATAGTAGTCCTGATTTATCTTTGCTTTCAACTAAACTTTTTTTTTTTTTTTTGGTGGCTAGATGGTACAAGGCTGAACTTGTGACTTGGTGTTATAAGGCTCTGCTCTAACTGAGCTAACCAACCAGCCAAAACTTTATTTCAAGAAAAGTTCAGATTAACATGCAGTTTTAAGAATACACGGAGATCCTATGCACCTTTTACAGTTTCTCCCCATGGCAGTATCTTACAAAACCACAGTACAATATCACAACCAGGATATTGACATTAACATGGGCAAGATATACAACATTTCCATAACCACAAGGATCCCACCTGTTACCTTTTATAACCATACCCACTTCCCTCCCTTTACCACCCTCCCTCCAACTCTGTCCCTAACCCTTGCAATCACTCATCCGTTCTCCATTTCTATAACTTTGTCATTCCCAGAATGTTATATAAATGGAATCACACCGTATATAACTTTGGGGATTGGCTTTTTTCACTAAGCCTAATTATCTGGAGACTCATCGAAGATGTTGAATGTATCTACAGTTCTTTCCTGTTTACTGCTGAATTGTATTCCATGGTACGAATGTGCCATAGTTGTTTAACTATGTTGAAAGAGCTGTTTCCAATTTTGAGTTAGTATGAATAAGGCTGCTATGAACATCCACACACTGGTTTTTGTGTGAACATAGTTTTCATTTCTCTGGAATAAATGCCCAAGAGTGCGACTGCTGAGTTGTACAGGAATTGCATGTTGAATTTCATTAGAAACTGTCAAACTTGTTCGCACAGTTGGTGAACCATTTTACATTCCCACCAGTGAGGTATGCATGACCCACTTTCTCCTCTTCACCAACATTTGGTGTTAACACTATGTTTTATTTTAGTCATTCTGATAGGTGTGTAATATCTCATTGTAGCTTAATTTGCATTTTCCTAACAGCTAATAATGCTGAACATCTTTTCATGTGCTTACTTGCCATCTGCACATATCTTTGGTGAAATGTCTCATCATGTCTTTTGCCCACTATCTAACTGAACTGTCTGTTTTACTGTTGAATTTTGAGAGTCTTTGATAAATTCTAAAGAATAGTTTTTGTGAGATACATCGTTTGCAAATATTCTCTCCAAGTCCATAGCTTATCATTCCATCCTCTTTTTTTTTTTTTAAAAAGATGCCCGGTAAGGGGATCTCAACCCTTGGCTTGGTGTTGTCAGCACCATGCTCAGCCAGTGAGCAAACCGGCCATCCCTATATAGGATTCGAACCCGTGGCCTTGGTGCTATCAGCACCGCACTCTACCGAGTGAGCCACAGGCCGGCCCTCATTCCATCCTCTTAAAAAGGTCTTTCAGGGCCGGCCCATTGCTCACTTGGGAAAGTGTGGTGCTGACAACACCAAGGCCACGGGTTCGGATCCCTATATAGGGATGGCAGAGCGACTGAGAACTATTCACTTGGCCATAAGTCCCAAAGATTTTTCTCTCCTGTTTTTTTTTTCCTAAAAGTTTTACAGTTTTGTTTTATACTCAATTTTTATTTCATTTTACATTTACATTTTGAGCTAATTTTTATGTAAGTTGTAAGGCTTAAATCAAGGTTCCTTTTTTTTTTCCTATGGATGTACAATTGCTCCAGCACCACGTGTACAAAAGGCTTTCTGTTCTCCATTGAATTGTATTTGTAACTTTTTTCAAAAGTCATTTGGGGGCTAGCCAGTTAGCTCAGTTGGTTAGAGCATGGTGTTATAACACCAAGGTCAAGGGTTCGGATCCCAGCACAACCAGCCACAAAAAAAAAAAAAAAAAAATCAATTGGACCTATTTGTATGGATTCATTGTCTTTCCCTCACTGGGTAGTGTTGGTAGTGTCAAGCAGGGAGCTGATCTTTCATCCCCTACCTGGTCGTGCTCTGATTCCCCAACTGGGATACTGCTGGCAGGGCTGAGTCGGGAGCATATCTTCTAATCCCTACCTGGCAGAAGCAGGCGGTGCTCTGACTCCCCCTCCAGGGTACTGTCAGCAGGGTCCAGCAGTGGGCTGAGCCTCCACTCCCACCCCACAGTAATGAGATTAAACAAGGTGGTGTGAGGTGGGACTAGTCACCTCTAGGCTTCGCTCCCCTCCCCCTGCCTGCCCATGTCAGTACAGCCCCAGTGGAAACCTTAGCCCCTACCCACACCCAGCATCAACAAGGTGGTAGGATGTGGGGCTACTTGGTATTCTACTCTCCCACCCCCTTTTTGGATGTCAGTGTTGCCCACAGGGGAGCTGATCTTACATTCCACCCTCAGAGGCAATGAAGTGGTGTGAGTAATTATATACATAGATATATACAAACATAGGTAGGTTATATTATCTATGAAGTTCATTTCTGGATACTAAAGGAGTATTACAAAATATTTGTTATTAAAAAGGGGTATTAGGGCTGATAAAGTTGAGCAATAATGCTTTACATGGATCTTCTCTTTTAATTTTCACAACAATCCTATATGGTATTAGTGTACCCATTTCACAAACGAAAAAATTAAGGCTCAGAGAGATGAATGACTTTTCCAAGTGAGAAAATGGCAGAGTCAAGATTTGAACCCATGTCTGTCAGAGCCAAGACCTCAGAACTCCCCTAGAAAGCATCACAATGATGTATGTGGCAGAGATTATCCTAAAAGTTTACCAAACCCTGCGGACACACAGGACTACATTTCCCACCTTCCCCCTTGTGCTTAGGGTAGTCATGTTACTGAGTACTGCCCCCAGAACATGAGGGAGAAACAAAGTACACACATGATGTGTGTACATTCAGTCTGGGCCCCCAAAAAACTGCCCACAAAATCATCTATGTTCTTCCTCTCTCTTTTCCCTCTGCAGAAGTATCCAGCAGAGGACTTCAAGGCCTTACAAAATATCAGAGCCACAGGTCAAAGGAGCCTGTATTCCTGAATGACCATGTGGAACAGATTACACCCGCTCCCCAGATACAAATACTTGAATTTGGGGCTTATTTGATACTCAGGCTACCTGAATATAAATGGTATCACCAAGCCAAGAGCAGCCACTCTATCCTGTCCCCAACTCCCACACCAGCCCCCAAGTGCCTCTGCCCACCTGGCTGGACCCTAGTCAACGTCTTCATTCTGCTTTTACTGTGGCCAGCGGCTTCTCGGACTGGAGGCAGAGTAGATAGCTTGGTTTTCTGTTTGGACCGCTGCCATGGAACATAATCCTACCAGACATAACACAATCAGTTATGTAACATGGTGAATCCCAAATCCCAGCTCCACTCTTTACAGATATCTGTGATCTCCAGCAAGTGAGGCTCCCTCTCTGGGCCTCAATTTTCTCATCTGCAATGTGGATCTAATACCAAAATCTACCTCCATGGGTTAGTGTAAGAATTCTGAGAGATTATATTGGTAAAGCATGTGTTAAGTGCTCTATAAATGTTAACTATCACTTTTTTTTATCAGCCAGCCAGAATTCACTAAGCACATCCAGGCTGTGAGGTGCTAAGAATTGTGAGAAACACAAGGCATGGAAAAGACCAAATACCCACCCGCAGGAAACCAGAGTAGCAATCAGAAATGAATAAAAGAGCAGCACAACATTCCCTTACACTCTGATGAGGTAGGGAGAAAACTTAAGATTCAGAGGCCTGCTCCACGTCCCACAGCAAATGTGTGACACAGCCGGGAATGGACTTCAGGTCTCCATTCTCATGCATCACCCGGAGCCGTCACCACCGTGAGAGTGGAGGGCAAGCGGACTGCAGGGTCAGCGAGCCTCCCATCCCCGCCCTAGCCCTCCCGGACTCACCAGAGTCTGGAACTTGTGGACTGTGGAATGAGTTCCAGAGAGGCTGGGTCTGGAAAGACTTGGGGCGGGAAAGAACTTCTATCATCCCAGCCCATGGGACTGCAAGCAGCAAATTTAAAACAGGAGCTGAGTCTCGAACGCGAAACCGCACTTTATCGGGCACAAGAGCGGGCCAAGTGCGAGGGCGAGGGGGCGGGGCTGGGCAGGTGTGGGCGGGAAGGGCGGTTCGGAAGACCGCGGGATGACGTCACCGCGAAGGCGGGGTGAGGGCAGGGCGACAGCGGGGACACGCATGCGTACTCCACCACCCCTCCGATGCTCCGTTTTACCTACTTCTGTGAGTCGTGCGCCATTGGGGGAAATGGGAAGAGAGTTGTGAGTCCGTGGGGCCCTGATCTTCCAGGATTCCTGTGCGGCTTCTCCAACTTCCTTGTCGACAGCGCGGTAACACAGGCCACTCAAACTTCCCTAGGACGCTTTCTCTTTCGTCTCAGTCTCCAAGGAAACGCGACGCCGACTACCGGGCGCCTAAAGGGACTAATATCGCAAAGCAAAATGTAGCTCCCCCACTTCCCTCTCGACAGGGTTTCAAATACCCCTCAGCCTGCCCCACCCATAATCCTAAAGGATTATGTCGTAGTTCTCCACTCTCATCAAACCTCCATCACTTCCTTTCCCACCCTCACTCTTGGCTAATGACTTCGCTTCCTATTTCATTAAGAAAATCGTGAGGATCACTAACCTCGCAAGTTCACAACCCCTCATTTACCCACCTACGTGCCTTGCTCCTGTAAATATGTATAAACTGCCAAGACCGATTTCTACACTTGTGCACCAAATCCTATCTTATCTCATTTTCCCAAAGATATTGTCCAACAATTATCCCTGTTCTCTCCTACATTATCGTTTTTTCCCTCTCCTTTGTATCAATCCCATCGGTATACCAGTATATTTTAATTTCTTCTATTAAAAAAGACTGACCACTTCCCCTACAGCTACCTTCACATTTCTGCTTCACTTTACAGCAAAACTCCTAGAAAGGTTTGCCTACTTTCTATTTCTTATGCTTGTCACCCCACTTCAATCAGGCTTTCACTCTCTACCTCTCCACTGAAGCTGCCCTTTTGTCAACATCACCGGTGACCTCCGCTTTGCTAAGCCCCATGGTCACCTCTCAGTCCTCACCTTATTTGGCCTACCTGCAGTATCTGACACAGCAGATCACTTACTCCCTTGAAACACCTTCTTAACATGGTGTCCAGGAAGTCACTCTCTTCTTGACTTGCTTCCTACCTCCTTTCAATCTCCTTTGGTGTCCCTCCTCTTCACCCTGTATTATTGGACTGCCCCAGGGTCAGCCCCTGCCCTCTCTATCTGCTGTCACTCCATTCATGCTTCCTTCCAGATGGCTTCAGATGCCATCTGTACCCGGTTGCCTCCTAGACACTCCCCTGAATTCAAGCCACAGACATCCAACTGCCTACTCAACATATCCACTTGGGCACCTAATAGGCAATTCTAATGTGCAATCTTTCCAAGAAATATTTTTCCCCAACTCAAAATGGCAACTCTCTTCTTGGAGTCGTCCTTGAATCATCTCTTATCCTACATTCAAATCCATTAGCAGATCCTGTCTGCAATACCTTCAAAGTATATCTGGAATCAGACCACTTACCACCACCATCCCACATATGCATCTCTCTCTTTCCTCTTGCACCTAGACTACAGTACTGGCTCCCTCCCTTCTCCTACTCCACTTCTCTCTCCACACACCAGGTTTGCTAGATACAGCATAGATTTAAAAGTGCATTAAAAAAAAAAAAAAGGGGGGCCGGCCCGGTGGCGCACTGGATAAGTGCGCCGCTTGGGAGGCGCGGCGGCGCTCCCGCCCGAGGGTTCGGATCCCACATACAGACTGGGTCCAGCTCACTGGCTGAGCGAGGCACGGGAGCAACACCGAGGGTTGCAATCCCATTGCTGGACACGAAAAAAGACAAAAAAAAAAAAAAAAAGATAAAAGTGCATTCCAGCTTAAAAAATAATTGAGAGGGAGCAAATAATTTTTGAGATCACCTAAACTTCAATAGGGGAACGTTACTATAGAATACTCCCCCAGAGCTCCCAACCTTTTCCACCTCTTATAAATCATAGAATATTTTAAATTGCATTGCACACTGTGGTAAACAGAAGAGGCTGCTATGGCAAAAGCAATCAGCCTGGGTACTCTTGCTATCCAGGCCTCCCATGGCTGTCCCTAGAGCTGAGGGAATCATGTTGGGTGCCCCCATTTGCAGAGCTCACTGTACCACAGCATTCTGGCTGGAGAGCTCTGTACCATGAAACCATTAAAAAGGAGGAGGTAGTAGTATGTGGCAGACCCAGGTGGTTGCCAACCCAACAGCAATTTCCCCCCTTCATCCCAGCTAATGGACCCTGATTTTGTCCATGTAAGCATTTGCATTGCAGGAGATGGGCCCCAACCCCAGTCCCAGTCCCAGCTCCAACAGGCATGATTGGTCTAAGCTAGGCTTGGTGGGCACATCTCCCTTGCCAGTTACAGGTTTAGTCATAGGCACATGATGAAAGTCTAGCCAAGGAGACAAAGTAATAAGATTATTCAGAGGCTTTTGGGAAAGCTTTGCATCACACTTAAAAAAAAAAAAAGACATTGCAGAAAAACATTTCTTCACCTGCTACTACACATTGTCACATCCACATGGGATTCCTGCAATGACGTAACTGTATGAAGACGTGACCATAGAGGACATACTGGGAATGATAGAGGGGAAACTGGAAGAAACCTGTTCCTTGATAGCACTGTTGAGACATTAAATTAACCAACTCTGTCACCTATCTGGAAATTGCTCGAGATTAAATAACAAATCACCTTACTGGGTCAGCCATTTTGAGTTGAGTTTTCTGGTACTTGCAGGCCAGAAGCATCCTACTGAACTCTTCATGTGGAGGAACAAGATAGAAGGAACCTGGGTTTCGGACTACCTTGCAGGACACAGCCAAATTCTGAGCTGTTTCATCAGAGAGAAATAAAATTCCAACTTGTTTGAAACCCTGTGTTTCCCCAAACACAAAAGGTTCCCTTTGTTACAGCAGGTTAGCATATACCTTGACTAACACAGAAAGGGACTTGGCCACTGTCACAAAGCCTTCTGCATCAGACAGCCTGACCCAGCATGGACACCCAGAGAGTTTTCCTGCTCCCCACATCTCAGGTGCTCGGTCAGTAATATTACTGCCTCCCACTTCAAGTTTTATAAGTAAATACACTTAAATATTTGCAAAAATGCTGCCATTTTAATCAAGGCCAAAATACATGTGAGGGGCCACTGATGATCACTTGTAACAATAAAAGCTGTTGTTGGAACTGGGATTGAATAAGATGGAGTCCATCTGCACTTACACCTGTTTGAATGGCATTTCTGTGTCCGTGAGCACCTGATGGAACGTCCTGCCCCTAGCAGAGGTGGGCAAGATGATGTGGCCTTTCCTTCCAAGCTCTGCTTGGCTCCAGGCTCAACAGCAGCAGCCTGGCCTCTGATTGCTTCAACATCTTGCTGACTTGGCTTAGCAGGCTGTCATGGGCTTCTATCCAATGCCATTTGATGTGTTGGCCTTTTGGCAAAGGTACATGCCATCCTAAACCCACAATCCCTACTTTTGTCCCTGGGTGAGATGCCATGATTCTTGTGGAGATACCTGCTACACTCAACACAAGATTCTGAACATTCCTTCTTAAAATCTGCACAGCACTCAAGAGCTACCTGTTCTTCCATCCCAAGAGCCCCCACTGAACTCCCAGGTCCCTGCTGTCTTCTTGTTGTGCATGGCTGCTGCTCTTCGGTTGTCCTTGTGTCCTCTTTAAATCCTATTCATTCCTGATTGTGAGCACAACTTCCTTGAGTAACTTGGAGCTGGCCAGGCCAACCTTGACTTTGCTGCTCAACATGGCTTTAGAGGGTAGTGGCAGATGACCTTGTGGTAAGTTTTTCATCAACTGAATAAATTGCTGACCCTGGTGCCAGTGCTGCATGTCATTGGTCTGCATTCAGGCAGTCAGCATAGAGTCTGTGCACTAGGTTGAATAGTGTTTTCCAAAAATTCACATCCTTCCCAGAAACTTATTTGGAAATAGGGGTTGTTTCAGATATAATTAGTTACGATCAGATACTAGCTTAGGGTAGGATCTTAACCCAATATGGCTGGTGTCCTTATGAGAAGAGGATAAGAGACACAGAGGCAGATACAGTGAGAATTCCATATGACAACAGAGGCAGGGATGGGAGTGATGCATCTCCAAGCCAAGGAACACTGGCAACACCAGAAGCTAAGAGAAAGCCATGGAATGGATTTTCCCCTAGAGCCTTCAGAGAGAGCATGGCCCAGCTGACATCTAGATTTCAGACTTTTAGCCTCTAGAACTGTGAGAATAAATTTCTGTTGTTTTAAACCACTCAGTTTGTGGTACTTTGTTATGGCAGCCCTAGAAAACTAATACAGTCTGCGTAATGTCATTGGCTCCAACCAAGGAGCTCTGTTGCTGCATGAGTTTCCTAACAATCTGGATGAAATAATACCATCAATGCTGCCTGCAAGACACGGGGATCCCTGAACACAGTAAAAAAGTTGCTATGGTTTGAATGTGTCCCCCAAAAAACATGTGTTGAAAATTTAATCCCCAATTCAAGTGTTGAGGGGTGGGGCCTCAAAGGAGGTGATTAGGTCATAAGGGCTCCACTCTCATGAATGGATTAATGCCAGTTATAAAAGGGCTTGAGTTTGTGAGTTCGAGCTCTCGCTCTCTTGTGCTGTCTTGCTCTTCTGTCTTCCACCATGGGATGATGCAGCATAAAGGCCCTCATGAGATGTGGGCCCCTTGCTCTTGGGCTTCCCAGGCTCCAGAACTATAAGATATAAATCTCTGTTTTGGGGGGGTTTTTTTAAAGATGACCGATAAGGGGATCTTAACCCTTGACTTGGTGTTGTTGACACCACACTCTCCCAAGTGAGCCATGGTCCGGCCTCTAAATCTCTATTCTTTATAAATTACCCAGTCTCAGGTATTCTGTTACAGCAGCACAAAGCGGACTAAGACTGATGTCCAACAGGATATTATCCTGGGCCCACATGGAGGTGGGAAGATATAAGGAAGATAAACTTGGTTAAGTCATCATGAAGAGCCAGAACAAATGTGCACAGTCTGGCAAGATTTGCTTGCACACTGAGGAACTAGACTTGACACCTGCAGTTGAGCACCTTAGAAACCATCAGTTTGGACACCAAGCCACAGTTGATGAGATGCTCCTTTGCTGGCAGGGTCTGCAGAGACTCTAGTATAACCTGCTGCTATTACAGGAGATGCTCCTGCACCTGTGTTCCAGATCACTCCCCATGCACAGGAACATGCCAAGATGGGTCTCAGAGAAAATGTCAGGCGTTTGTCCACACGGACATAATACTGGGCGTCTGATGATGTCCCCTTCATGGACTGGACCAGCTTCTCATTCCCAGTGGGTTAGCGTGATATTGATCCAGGCCAGATGCTGATAGTCAAGTGCCTCCTTCTTCCCTTGGCCTCAGCGTCCTTCTCCTGGGTCACTGGCCATACTTCCGTTTGGTGAAGAAATTGCAGTTTGTGGCCTTGCTTTCCAACAGCTGTTGCAGATAACTAAGGAACAACTCACACATGTGGCCCCACTGCATCCTGGCTTTGGCAAAGCCAGTATCTCTTCTCTCTAGGACCTAACCACAATGCCAGATAATCAGCATCTGGAGGCAGCTTTGCAGCCCAGGGAGTATAGATACCTGTGCTAATGAGTGAGAAGGAAACAAATGAGAAGCAACAAAGCTCAAAAAGGAACAACTCACACATGTGGCCCCACTGCATCCTGGCTTTGGCAAAGCCAGTAGCTCTTCTCTCTAGGACCTAACCACAATGCCAGATAATCAGCATCTGGAGGCAGCTTTGCAGCCCAGGGAGTATAGATACCTGTGCTATTGAGTGAGAAGGAAACAAATGAGAAGCAACAAAGCTCAAAAAGGAACAATTCCACTGGAGAGTGACAGAACATGGGTCAAACATGAGTCAGGATTCCAATCCTGGCTTACCCTTAAGCAAGCTGCTTCGCCTCTCTGAACCTCAACTTAATCATCAGTAAAATAGGGACAGTAGGGGCTGGCCAGTTAGCTCACTTGGTTAGAGTGTGGTGCTGATAACACCGAGGCCAAAGGTTTGAATCCCCTTACTGGCCAGCCACCAAAAAAAAAAGAAAATAGGGACAGTAATGCTTACATCACTTGCTTGTTTTAAAGAATAACACAAATGTAAGTTGTCAGTAGTTACACTTTGATGTAGGCATTATCTCCATCTTACAGATACAAGGCAGAAGTGCATAAGTGGCTAAGCATATAAGCTTTGGAGATGTGTTAATGTGGGTTCGAATTCTGACAGTCACTATGCCACTACTAGCTTAGTGACATGGGCCATTCACTCTACCTCTCCGAGCCTAGTTTCCTCACCTGTGAATAGCAGCAACAATTCTAACCCCAAAACATTTTTTCTCTCTTGCTTTCCAAAATCTTCTTCAAGGTCCTTCTGAAATCATGCCTCCTCTCCAGTCTCTTGACTGACCTTTAGAAAACAGTCCAAATCCTAAAAGTCCACCAATAAGAACTTGAATTGAGATGCAGATAGGCTTGACAGGTAACCAAGTTCTAGTCAACGGGACATGGGCAGAAGTGCAACACCTGGAAGAGCGCTCTCTCACAGGGAGAGGACATGCCCTTCTCCACTCCCTCCTTCCAGCTGCTGGAATGGAACCTGATGTTAGGAGCTCAGCAGCCATTTGGACCATGAGGTATTCTTGGAAATGGAGGCCACATATGGCAGAACAAAAGAAGGAGCTTGGGTCCCTGACACTGAAGCCATGACAGCAGCTCTAACCTGCCTACCTCTAGACTTATTTTATGAGAGAAATAAACCTCATTTTTATCTAATTATTCTAGAATTTTCTGCTGTTCAGTTATTCCCAACTAGTATAGTGAGTTTCCTAGCAATTCAGAAAGCAGCTGCCATTTACTAAGTGCTTATAGAGCACTAGGCTACTGTGTTGTCTTCACAGCAAGTCTGTGAAGACAGAGAGCAAGACATGGCCCAGCTCTCAAAGATCTCACAGATGCTCCTGAGACAGATCCCTTCACCTCTCTGAGCCTGTTACTTCCTATGTTAAGTGGAGATAATGGTACCTACACAAAACATGGCAAACTTGTTGGTCAGCCCCATCTACACACATTTGTCCATCCTATCATTTTTTTTTAATGTAATGCCTGAGCCAGACATATTCTAAGTAGTCTACATGATGGTGGCTTGGACAAGAGGCGACAGTAGTCAGATCTGGGATATATTTTGGAAGAACTGCCATCAGGATTTGCCAAAGGAGATGATGTAAGGTTTGAGGGGAAAGAGGAGAAAAAATGATAAAGACGGACATGTATGGAAGCCAGGGTACTAAGGACAGAAGAACAGAAAGAGAGAAGAGGCCTCACAAGAGAGACACTAGACCTTCACGTGTGCAGGCCTTGTTCCAGGCAGCCAAATAATGGATTTCCAGTCTCTCTTAGAAAAGCAGACATCTGGCAACGCTGAGCCTGTATCCCTCCGTGGTGATAATCTGCCAGAAATGGATAAAGGCTGCCCTCTTTAGATGGCCTCAGTGCCCATCTGGACTGCTTTGCTCTTGGGGTAACTACCTAGCCTCTGTAACTCCTGGTTCAATAACCTCTGCAAAATTTGACCTGAGAACAATGTAATTGATCAAAAGGATGGCCATACACATGACAAAATCTTACAACAAAAAAAGATATGGTTAGTAGAATTTGACATGGAGCCAGAACACAATCTACAAGTCAAATCTTTTCAAAATACAAACATCTCTTAAAATGCCCAAAATATGTTGATTGTACGAGAGGTCCTGCCTACTGCAGTAAGATAAGAAAAAGTGTACAATATGAAAAGAGAGACAAACCTTTCATTATTCACAGATGATATGACTGTCAACATAGAAATGTCAAGAGATTCCAAAAAACAGTGGAAATTTTTAAAGATTTCGGCTTTGTTGCTAGATATGGGGTCAGTACACAAAATTTGTGTTCCCTCTAAACATCAGTAACAAACAATATGTAATTTCTGATTTACATTTATGATAGTTTCATGTACCATAGCAACCAAACCAAATGATATATTGGAATAAATCTCAAAAATTATGCAAGGCCTTTATGAAAAAAATTTTAAATGTTATTGAAATTCACAAAACCCAAATAAATGAGAAATTAGAGTCATAAAAGGGAAGATTCAGTAGTATAAAATGGTGATTCTGTATAAATGCAATGCAATTCCAATAAAAATCCCATAAAGTAGTTTCCTGGAACTTAGTAGGGTAGTTCTACAATTTATATGGGGGATCCAAATATAGCTGACACGATTTTTTTTTTTTTTAGGATCCGAACCCGTGGCCTTGGTGTTATCAGCACCGCACTCTCCCAAGTGAGCCATGGGCCGGCCCTAGCTGACACAATCTTGAAAAGGAAGAATTTCCCACATCATCCCTGTACAGGTTGCAGATGCTACTGAAAACACCAAAGTTTATGATAAACTAATAAGCAGACATAACATCTAAGTCCAAGCAACCAATTACCTCCTAGTGCCCCAGGGGTAAGAGCTCCTACAGATTGCCTCCACCTCTCACCACATGCCACAGATGATGAACTACTTCCTTGAGAATCTGCTGGCCATGTGGAAGCGAGTGGGGCTGGAACTGAGGCCACATTCTTCAGCTGAGTGCAACTTCTGCTGGAGGCCACTGCATTTTGAAGTGATGAGTGAAAGAGAGAAACCCAATTTTTCAAGTATAAACACGTTGGTATCTGCTCAGGTCTGAGTGTGACCTCAATTACTCCACCTAATCCCAGGCCGTTATCATATCCAGATAGTCTCCAGAGTTGTCTTTATATGTGAATTAAATTTCAATCCATAGTAAAAAAAAAAAAAAATAGGAAAAGAAACTCAATATATCTCTTGAAATTGGAAGATCTGGCCACAGTGGGCCCTCACTTTCAGAGAGCAATAATCAGCTGCAGTTGACTAGCAGCTGCCCCTTCAGATAGAATATGCAATTTCCAGTTCACCTAGCACATTTTCCTTATTGAAGACACCTGCCTGATCCCTGTAGCTATTTGATTGTGTGATAGTTACTTGGGATGAGTGCTTAGGGTAAGAGGAGTGGAAGAGATTACTTAAAACACAGAGATTCTGGGCCGAGCCCGTGGTGCACTCGGGAGAGCGCGGCGCTGGGAGCGCAGCATCGCTCCCGCCATGGGTTCGGACCCTATATAGGGATGGCCGGTGCGCTCACTGGCTGAGCGCGGTGCAGCCGGTCACAAAAAGGACAAAAAAAAAAAAAAACAGAGATTCTGTTTGGTTTTGTAAATATCTTCCCCATGGGAAGACTTGAAGAGGAAAGGAGAAAGAAAAAGAATGCAAAAAGGAAAAAAAAAAAAAAAAAAACAGAGATTCTGTTTGGTTTTGTAAATATCTTCCCCATGGGAAGACTTGAAGAGGAAAGGAGAAAGAAAAAGAATGGAATGTATGAATCCGAGACTCTGTTTCTGGTAATGGTGAGGTTCAGAGTATGATCATGGGAATGTGTGGCTGAGAAGGGATGGAGGAAAGGGTATCAAGATATAACATGAGGGAACTGGAAGGGGCGATAATGGCTTCCCTGAGACCAATACTTGGAGTTGGTGAAGGAAAAGATCGTAAACCAGGAACTCACAAGGACTTCAAAATGCTAAGTGGAACTGGAAGACATGAGAGAGAAACAGAAAAGAATCCAACACTAGAAGAAAGGAAGAATAACCTTTCAGGGAACTCATTCTGGACCAAGCTCTTTGACACAGCTT